ACGATTTTGTGTCCTTTGCAATTTTTTGTTACATCAACAATTTATGTGCTATTTATGCGGATGAATGCATACATAAAATTTCCGTAATATAAATAAAAATGCATTTTTTACAGACACGCACTCAACCAAAAACAGTCTGTTCTAATTTATTTACGTTTAAATATTTATCAAAATAAAATGGCACAGCCAAAGGTTAAATAAAAATAATATAATAAATAAACTTAAGTTGCCGGCAGGCAATTGAATATTTGTTTGGTTCTGCACTTTAAATATATATTTTATTTTTGGAGTTTTGGTAACTCGGCTACTTAAGAGCTCAGTGGCCTCGCCCATTTGAAGCGCTCTTCAAATATTGAAATAAAATTTCATTGCGCCTCTACTGGCAGCCGCTTGCCCTGAAAAATATTTGCACAGATAATGGCCGGACTGAAGTGTTTGTGGGTCCCGTTTGTTTTTGTGTGGCGTTTCTCATTTAACATGCACCCCAATACCCCCCCCCCCACCCCCCCACACACACACACACAGAGAAACGCCCATTCTGTTGCATAATTAAATTTCTCACAGACAGCTTGAAGGCGGCATGGTAGGCGTGGCTGTGTGGCATGTTAATGAACACCCAACGGTGTGAGTGCAGGATAATGCATTGAGAGTCTGCTCAAGTGTAAAGCAGGCGAAGTCAAGTCAATCAATCTGCTCTTAGACGGCAGATACATTAACTGCTTAACTAAGTTTGCAGCCGAATAGAAATTTAACTTGCTCAAATATCACATGGTTCTGTTGGCGAGCCTGAATGAGAATTTATATATATATATATATATATGGAGTGGAGATGGATGTCATGATTTAACAGCGCACATTTGTTAAGCTTTTACAATTTTTCACATTTTCTTCCCATTTTTATTTTGGTTTGATCGACATTTTGACGCCTATCTTTGTCATCCGGCACCGTCCTCGCAGCCGGAAATTAATTTTCCACACTGTCCATTGCGCTTCATTGCAGAATGTACCACTCAAATTTCGTTTCGTTTGCCAGGCGCCCAAATTTAAATATAATCAATAAATTGAGCATACGACACGTATATCTTGGGGCAGTCACACAAACAGAGCTCAACACAAAGCGACCGTCAACTGTGTGTTTGTGTGTTTTTGTCTTGCTGCTCTTGTTGTTTGCCTTAATTTGTGGTATACGCAACACGAGCCAGAACAACAATTTCAGTCAACAGCAGACAATGCCTTAACTGCGGTTGCCCCTTGCGTGTCCTTTCAATGTGCCCGCATATCCTTGCACCATGGCACAGCTGCAACTGACAACTATTATTAACGAAGCACAGTCTCGAGCTGTGTGCCATGCATTTGGCATTAAATTGTCGTCAATGAATTGCCGAAATTCCAAAACAAGTGTCGTATAATTGGCAATATCACTTGGACAGAATTTTACCCAATGTGCTCGGTCATTTATCAGAATAAACATCGTCGTTTACATTTAGTATTATTATTGTTATTAATACAATTACTTATACCCAAAGTCTTGAAGTTAGACCTTTGTTCGAATGGAAATATTAATTTCTTAAATTTGCCGGCTAAGTAAATAAGCTGAACAAAAGTTTACCTAAATGCATTCGATTAAAGCTTGACTTTGCCCAAAACTTTGAATAAGGTTTTGTTTTGAATGATATATAAGTCTGCCATGTTATTAATGATGTGATGTTGTTTGAGAAAGTCAGTTGCTGTGACTCTTAATATAGCATTAACCATTAACCATTCGCCGATGCCATCAAATCGAGGGCCATTAGACAAATAACATGACTTGACATATATTGGCAGGGATTAGGCCATGATTGTCCCCAACGGAAAATTGTATTAATTAAATGTGAACAGAAACAATAAGATAAATTCATATAGCGCCTAAGCCAAAGCAATTATTCAATCCAGTCTACGGCTGCTGAGCAATGGCCAAAAATGCAAAAACAATAGGCCGTTCAATGGCAAATCACAGATACACTCACACACTCAAGCAATCAATCAATGCGTCTCATAATCAATCAAGCAGACAGAAACAATAGACTTGGTCGTCTAGCTTGAAGATAAAGTGACAAATGTAAAATCAAATGGAACAACCACAAAGTATCCATTTCTCGCTCAAAGAGCGCTCTAAGCCGGACGTTATTGTATGGGCAAAGTTACAATTATGGCTAGTCAATTATTAAAAACAATCGACCCAAATGACTCACGCAACTGCCACTGATTATTGACTAGGCCTTGGATACTAATGTATCTGCTGGTTACTATTGCTACTATTTCCAGCTAATACACATACAAATGCAGCGAACGTTAATAGCGTACTATGTGGGCATAAATACAATTTGACTCAATTTCCGTTTGAAGTTTTTGATGATTTTATTGATTTTGTGGAGTCACGCAACTTCCTTGATGGCCGGATCACCCCGACTGCGGCGAGTCCTTTGCTTTGTATCTTAAAATTCTTTGGCAAGTAATTAGCAAAAATCGTCGATATTTAACAGCTCTTATGGAGCTGCAGCGCACACCAACACACATCGAGAGAGAACCCCAGCCCCTGCAACTATTCCGATTTTCAATTAGGTCGTCGCACACGGAGCAGCAGACAAAAGCTGACAAGCAGCTGCTGTGTGTGGCAAGGGGAGGTGTCTCCAAGTTGCTGTTGCTGTTGCTGCTGCTGCTGACTAAGCACATTGACAACGTCATGAAGTTTAAGTGAGTTTTTTTTTTTTTTTTGTAACTCTAGCGAGGCTGGTTGGCATGAGTCACACATTACCGAAGACAAACGGCTAGGCGTCTATTCAATTTACATATCTTAGGGGTAGCATAGGGTTTATGGAAGCGTAGGCTTTTCGAACCGATGCGATCCATTAACGCAATGGCAACGACTTAGCCCTGATGTTGGCTGCTACTTAAACTTATTGGATTTGCCGGTTAACAAACTATGCGTTTACCCCACGTAACACAAATTAGCTGCCCGTTGCCGGGTAAGTAATTAATGGCCGAGGGCGCAGTGCCTGCAGTTATGCAATAGACAGTGCATTGAATAATTGAATGCAAAATACCGTAAAAATGATTACGCTGAACTTGACACAAGCACACAACGTGCCCCTAACGTGGTCAGATGCCAAGCAACGGGGCTCAGAGAGAGTCTGTAAATAAAGTTGCATATATTTCATGCTGACAGCCTTAACACGCACACCAACATACACACACACACACACAGACACACACATACCAACATACACACACCCCTCGTGTGATTGCTTGCTGTTGCCTTTGGCACTTCATGTGTCCATTTCGTGTTGACCAAGCCTCGAGCACGCGATGCACACATTTACACACTCAAACACAAACAGCAATCTGCATATAAAGGCATACTTAAGCACAAGGATTTTTTTTGGGGCAGCAATCTTGTTATGCCTGTCGCAACAGCAACAGTAGCTCCACTTGCTATTTGCCACTTGCCACTTGCTGCAGACCTGCGGCTCGGCTATTATTGAATACAGTTGTTCAATTCGGTGCCACGCCCATTTTATAGCTATTGTTGCCCACACGCAAGTGGGCGGGCTCAAAGCAGCAGGCAGCGCTTTTAGTGTGTTAATAATGCCCTGAATTTATGGAGTTGTGAATTATTTACGACTATGCATTTGCAACACAAAAAACAAATATAAAATATGAGAGAAACAACATGAAATATCATTGAAGTAAAGAGACTTTAATAGTTTTAATGTCAGCGACCAAAAACTTGTGCAAAACATCGGGCCTCTGGCCTCGACGAATATTGTTATACACACAATAATGCCTATTTGGCTAAGAGAATGTGGATGTGAAGATGCCGCTTGAGTACAAAACTTTAGCGACAGCTGCAAAACTTTTGATAAAGTTGCACAACATCAACAGACCAACAACAACAACCAAGAACCGCAACAAAAGGAACAACAACAAATAGATCAAGAGCACCAGTAGGAGAATCAACATATGTCAAACTTTGGCAATCTCAAAGATTTTTTTTTTTTTGTGCCCGTAGGCGAGCATGATTTTTGGCAAATCACAGCGAAAGACTCAAGTGTACACTTGACTGGTGGTGAGGGTGATGGTGATGGTGCTGAGATTTGCCTGCAGCTAACCGCTGTCCTGCACAGGCATTAATCCATTAAAAACTTTTTGTTGTGTGCTGCTGATGTCGACAGCAGCAGCAACTTCATTTAAAGTGAATACTCATTTTGGCACTCCCACAACCAACTGCAATTTCAAGCCCAAGCCCAATCCCGACAACAACCAACACTAGCTTCCAATCCCAGTAAAATCAAAGTATTACCTTGTTGCTGTTGCTGGCGTGTGACATCATCAACATCACGTGCCAGTCTGTTTACTGTACTGCCCGGGTACAGTCGCCTCGAAGTCCTCTCTTAGCATGACGCCCCGCTGACGACCACCTCCAAATCTGACCCCGCATTGCACACGAGAAATTCATGATGACGTGGCAGTGACAGAAATTGCAGTTGGCGTGGCATGGAATGTCCACAAAGAAAAAAAATAAATGAAAATAACGAAGAAGCGAAATTCAGCTATGTAACAAAATAATCATTGCATACTTTTGTGGACCAAGTCTAGTGCAATTTGGCCAAAATGCCACCGATAAAAGATATAAGTTTGATTGAAGCGCTGCAGCGCGAAGCTCAACGGACAGTTTAAGTCCACGCAAGGATTGCGACTGCAAAATTGTCTTAATTTATGCAAAGCAAAATCTTTTAGTAGCGCTTAAGTAAGCCTGAACGTGGACGAGAGTAGCTCGTAGCAGCGACAGCTGTTGGTTGTCCCAGCAGCAACAATGCTGGCAACTATAATTTGGCTAATTTATGCAGCGACGCGTTGCACTTTATATTTGCATTTGCCTTAAGTTCTATGCATAAATTAACTAGGGAAAAATGATGAAACTAACTTAAATACTTATTTTTGTTTGTTTGTTTGTTTTGCAGGAAAATGGAAGATCAGTTCCTGATGTTACCGCTAGTCCGGGTCGTGCACCGCCCGGCCCGCTGCCCGCCAATCAGATATCTGGCATGGTCAACCAACAGCAGCAGCACCATCATGCCAATCAGCAACAGCAGCAGCAACAGCACCATGGCAACCAGCAACAGAATCGCGGCCAAAACCAAAACACAAACGGATCGGGCGGCGTCAAGGATCCGGTGCTGTTGCAGGGTGACTTTCGCAAGGTCAGCGGCATCAGTTCGGAGATCTTTCGACAGATAGAAGCCGTTGAGAACGATCATGATCCGAATACCGCTGCCGCTCTGGAGGCGGTGGAGCGGCGCGGCGAGATGATTGTTCGCATTCTAGAGCCACGCTCCATGGGCAGCAAGCATGCGGTGGACGCAGCCCACAAGCTAATGAACAAGGCCGATGGCCGGCACACCGTGCAGCTGGTGGAGATTGTGAAGCGACCCGGCCAAACCCTCGGCCTGTACATACGTGAAGGTAATGGCGCCGATCGCACTGACGGCGTCTTCATATCCCGCATAGCCCTCGAATCGGCGGTCTACAACAGCGGCTGCTTAAGGGTAAGAATTGTGTTGAGATATGAGGATCGATAGATTGCCAGAATGTTTATCAACGGCTTAATTTCTTAAGTTTTTATTTATTTTTTTATATAATCTTCGGCATCATATTAAATGTTTCGAATTGAATTGAATTGTGTGCTGCAGGTGGGCGACGAAATCCTTGCCGTCAATTTGGTTGATGTCACTCATATGTCGCTCGATGATGTCGTCATCATCATGTCAATTCCTCGTCGCCTGGTGTTGGCTATCCGACAGAGGCGGGGCAATCGTGGAGCTGGTTCACCGGGTCCGCCGACGCTGTCACGGCCGGAGCAAAAGCCGCCGCCAGTGGTGGTCATTAAACGTGATCTCCGAGACGAGGACCTGGACGAAACGGATCGTATGCCACGGCCCCGTTCCTCACGTGAAAGACGTACAGGTAGTTTAAAGTGAGCGCCGTGTTTAAAATGCTAATCGTTGTCCCTTCTCTATCCACTTGCAGGCGATGGCCGCGAAATGACCGAATCGCGCTCCAGACTAGGCCTGGGCCTTAACAACTACAGTCCGCAGTCGGAGCAGCTGGACATGTACTACAATACACGTGCCGGCGTTAATGCCATGGGCGAACCACCAAACTGGGGCTACAAACCGCCGCCGCCCCCGTCCTCGGTCATTACGGAGCAGCCGACAAAGGGACATGCCTTTGCGCCGTCGCATGCCTACTATCAGAATGCTGGCACGCTAGAGAGCCTGGCCGAGAAGGTGCACGCCTTCTATCCGGGCGCCCCTGGTCAACCGCTTGGACCCTCGCGACGCATGTCCACGGGCACCGGGAACGTGGGATTGGCCCAGCAACATGCACGTTTCCCGCGATCCGGGTCGGATCAGCATTTGCCGCGTGTGGAATACGCAGATTACTCAAACTCATTGGGCCGGCATTCGCTGTTGCGTTCCAGCTTGAAGCCCGGAACGGCCGCACCAATGCCTGTGGGCGTTGGGGGCACTCTGGGTCGCTATGGACGTTACGAGCAACAACGTGGCGGTGTTCCCAAGTACGGACCGTCGCCAGCGGGTGCCCAGTCACTGACCCGTCGCTCGCGACCCAATCTAGACTACTCGAGCGACACAGAAGCGACGATCGGACCTCGTCCCAGTTACTATTACTATAATCGGCCCGCGATTGGCAGCATGCCACGGGCAAGCGGCGTGAGTGGTGGAGCGGCTGCAGCAGCTGCTGCCATGCTGGCCGGTGCCACAGATCTCAACAAGTTCAACTCACTGCCGAGGGAGCGTCCGGGCGTTCGGTTACAGGGCATACGTGCACGCATCGGGGACCGCATTCTCGATGAAAACGATGGAAACATCTCGGCACCAGAATACGATGCGCGGCGTGGCCGTGATTTGCGGCAACGGATTACAGCCAGTCCGGGTCCCTCGATCTTTACGGCGGACGAGTATCGTGCGTGGTTGCGACGTGCACCCAGCAGCTCTGCCATTGCGGAGCAGATGCGCATGACTAGGGATATGTTTGCCCAACCACGCTCACATCGCTTCTCCTGCAGCGCTGAGAACATCCACGATGCCCTACGCAATGTAAGTTATCAATATAACCAATGCCGCATAGAAAGGGGATATCTGCGTCGACATCTATAATATTAATTTGCTGGATTTACGTAGACAAACTAACTATGCAAATATGATTATCTGGCTGAGACTTATTATTATTAATTATTCGCTTACATGTAGAATACATTGGGGGTGGTTCCATTCTATTTGGGCTTGGATAACCTTTCAATATATTTAACATACTTACCAGCATATCCCTAGGTCGGGATTTCCTCACTGCAGAATTCTTATTTGCACAACATTTTTCTTTGCAGACCGAGAGCATTTACTCCAGCAGAACGGGCATTCTAGGCGCTGGTACGTTGGACCGTAATCTGGGCCTGACTCGACCCATCTCTGCACTGCCTGTGCGTTCGATGTCCTCACAGCATATAGGCGGCGCTGGTTCCATACGCTCACCCAGCATCCGACGTATGCGTCAGCTGCTGGAACTGTCTGCGGGCCCGGCCAGTCCTAGTGGTAGCATCATGAGTACGGCCGGTCATCAGAGTCCGGCACCCACGCCCAGCGCCACATTGCCGCGTCAGCATCGCCAGATCGACATCAATCCTGCGGAGTTCGCCAAATACAAACTGGACAAGCCCATTGTCGACATCGGCGGTGTCTCGGGCATGCTGTGGATTCACCTACTGGCTGGTCGCGGACTGCGAACAGCGCCAGAGATGGGTGCACAGCATGCCGGCGGCGGAGCGCCACCTCAACTGACTCGAGATCTCTACTGTGTGATCGAGTGTGATCGCGTACATAAGGCGCGCACTGTCGTGCGCTCTGGTGATCTGCAATTCGACTGGGACGAGTCCTTCGAACTGGACCTGGTGGGCAACAAGCAGCTGGACGTGCTCGTCTACTCCTGGGATCCGCAGCACAGGCACAAACTGTGCTATCGCGGCGCCATCTCGCTCTCAGCAGTGCTGCGGCAGTCGCCACTGCATCAGTTGGCGCTCAAAGTTGAGCCACGCGGCACCGTCTACATACGCATGCGGCACACAGATCCACTCGCCCTGTACAAGCGTCGTGGTCTGCCCAGTTTACGGGCCGGCTATCCGACGCTGTTCGGCGCCGATCTGGAGACGGTGGTCAACCGGGAGTCGAAAAATGTGCCCGGCTGTGCGCCAGTGCCAATTGTTCTCCGACGTTGCGTTGAGGAGGTGGAGCGGCGCGGTCTCGATATAATCGGGCTGTATCGGCTGTGCGGATCGGCAACTAAGAAACGCCTGCTACGCGAGGCGTTCGAGCGCAATAGCCGCGCTGTGGAATTGAGCCCGGAACACGTTCCTGATATTAATGTTATTACCGGCGTGCTCAAGGACTACCTCAGGGAGCTGCCCGAGCCACTGTTTACACGCTGCCTCTTCCAGATGACAGTCGACGCATTGGGTAATGCTGACAAGCTGACACATATGCACACATTTAAATTCTATACCCAATTTTTACTCTAATACAATTCACAGCCGTCTGCCTGCCAGATGATCCCGAGGGCAATGCGAAACTGATGCTTAGCATTCTCGACTGTTTGCCCAGGGCGAATAGGGTGAGTACAACATATTCAAGACTCATTTAAAAATCTTGTTTTAAATTGAATTTCTAAAAAATAAATGCTTGGTTTTTCTTAGTTAAATTCTTAAATACATACTTAACTTCTTATATAACTTAGTCTATATACGCTGCAGATATGTAACCCTATTTTTATCAACGAGAAGTTTTATTTCATGATTTCCATACGCAAAACAGTATTTTCTTTTTCGACTCATTTCCATTCGCCCTTTATGAGAGATTTGTACAACTGATTTGGTTCTTAGATGACTCCTTTATACTCAAATCGAATCTCCTTGAGTTGACCTTGAGGGTCATTTAGCTAATACACCAACCTAATTTATACTATACAGCAACCTGCAACCTGCGACATAAAAAAACGTGTTTAATTGTCTGAGTCACAAATATTTTCCAGGCACTTGGGTTAATATTATATCAGTTTTCTGTTTTCTTAGTCTTAGCCCTTCTGCATTTTCATTTTGAAAAAGTTTCAATTTCTGAAAGCTATAATTTTGTAACCATCAGTTTGCAATTACATAGAGGTAATATGGAGATATGTAATGCTTGTCTTATGCTCAACAGGCTACCCTAGTTTTCCTGCTCGACCATCTGTCGCTGGTTGTGTCTAATGCGGAGCGCAACAAGATGTCCGCTCAGGCGCTGGCCACTGTGATGGGTCCACCGCTGATGCTGCACTCGGCTAGCGCGCAGCCTGGCGCTGACATTGATCATGCCCAGCCGATTGCGGTACTTAAGTATCTGCTGCAGATCTGGCCGCAGCCGCAGCAGCAGCAACATCAGCAGCAGCAGCAGCATCAGCAGCAGCACCTTCAGCAGCAGCAGCAACAACATACGCAGCATCAGCAGCTGGCTCAGCACATGGGCGGCATGGCTGCTGCCAGCAGCATGAGCAATATGGCGGGTGTTGCTTCAGGTAACGTAATCACTGTGTCAATTATGCAACCCACTGTCCAGTACCAACCACCCACCAAACAACAACACTGCAACATGCATACACAGACACATACACACACAAACACATACACACACACACACACACACACACACACACACACATAGAAAGACGCGTGTTTAACTAGTGGCACTATAAAAAAACACTTTGCAAGAGTTTTTTTTTCCTGCTTTGAATGTGTGCAGCAGCAACCGCAGCCCCAGTTCTATTTATTCCAGTCTAATTCTTAATGGCGGCACAGAAACCGTTTTCTTCATATTAATCGTCACGCACACACACACATACACACGCACACACATACAGCATTCAAAGACACACACACACACACAGAAGAGACACAAACATACGAAGACATACACTTGATCAGCCCCAGTCCCAGCCACAAAATGATCGTTCACATTAATATTGATTAATACAGAGTCCTATGTAGACAGGTCGGCGCGGCGAGTCAACAGGGCAGCGTGGAAGCAAAGTCAGTGCGTTGCCAGTGGACAGACAGCAATTACTACTGCAGCAGCAGCAGCAGCTCATGGCGGCGGGCAACCTACTGCGCTCGTCCACTTCGGTAACCAACATACTCTCCCAAGGCCATCATCAGCTCTCAGCCACAGCCAACAGTCATCTGTATCAATCAGTAGTGGGTCAGTTAGCTCAATCGCATCGAGCCTTGCAACAAGCGGTGCAACAGGTAAACAAACAGTTACAACAACAACAACATTAACAACAACAAACAACAAAACAACCAACAAACAATAACAACCAACAAGTGGAAAAAAGAAACAATAACAAGAACTTTCAATGAGAGAAAAACCCCCTCAACGATGGTATAATCGAGTCCTGAACACTAACACATTAACATTAAGAAAACATTTAGTTACACTAATACTAACACAAGTCATTGTTTGTTTTTAATTAGGTGTACTTTTTTGATTAGTTACATTATGGAATAACAGTTGTATCTCTCAGTTGTATTTCTCTCTATCTCTTACTATTTGTCCGATTAACTCAGGTTAATTTCACTCCAGTATAGTTCTACTATTTCCTTTCTATAATATGAAACACTTACTTATGCAAGTACTATTGGTTTTATTGATTCTTCAACTCTCTTGAGAAAACACAAGACAGACACATTTCCAGCTGGGGAAATAATTACATACAGACATCCATACATATACATTCAACATTTTCAACAACTCTTTCTTGCTCTTCTAACTTTTCCTGTTGACCGTTTGCAAACGCGTAATTCATTTGAACGATATATATGTAAAATAACTGAACAATTATATAATCTCTATATATATCCAAATATCAAGCATTCGCTGTTGTTCATTTGATTTGTGCTTCTTGATACGAAAATAATATGTACTACAAGTAAAATTCATGATTTTCCGTCAAGCTTTAATCGACGTTGTAATTGTGATATATGTATAACTAATAACACTAATAATAATAATGATATCGAATAAAATAATGGTAATAATGATGATGATTTGAGCGATGTGATAAATGTTAACGGCGTGTTTAGCATGATTGGCCCACTACTGGTAAAAATGTAACATAACGAATATACATATGTATCTACTTTAATACCAATGCAATATGTAAATTCATACAAAACAGTATTTATGTTGACATTCGCCCATACACCATGTAACACGCTTCATATACAATTCCATTGTACAAAGTTCATCAATCATCACCTGTACTAATAAATCCTTCAGACTAACCAACGTTCTCCCCGTAAAACTCTTCAACGCATAATGTAGACTTACCCAAGATGCTAACCTACCAGAACCCATGAGCACAAACTAAATTCCGTTTCAATATTTCAATGTATTTAGAACTCGTAAATAGTCACGACGCTGGGTATATTGTATATATTTATGTTTGCTCTACATTTTGTTATCTTAAGTTTTTAAAGAAAATGTAGAGCCGACATAAAGTAACCTTTAAATAAGCTTTAGGAGTGAGAACTGTTTACACTTTCCGTTCTGTCAACTTTATTTAACTAGCACCTAAAACTTGCTTTGTTAGCTGCACATTTTCCAAGGCACCCTGTTTGCATGTCTCACGATCTCATCTCATCCGAATTAAAGAGTTGATTGGTTTATCCATTATTGGCCGCACTCGATTACGAATTGTTAAAAAAGTGTATGTCTATTGTATGTTTGCCACGCCTACAGTCCACACACGCACCATCCACAACACATGAAATCAAATTCAAAATTAAAAAAAAAAAAACACCACGCACCAAACGCAACCCAGATACCGCCCCCAATGTATACACAGTATGGCATTTGTCTCCCCCAATACTAAAAGTGAAATGCCTGTGCAATAACCAATACCATGTATTGCGTTTGCTTCGTTTCTCTGATCTCTTGCAGCCCTATCAATTGGCGGGCTCAGCGGTCTCAGCAATTCCCGACCAATCGCCACTGCCACTTCCAGGCACACCCTCCCCCGGCAGTAGCTCAGCATCGACGGGCTCCGGCTCGGGGTCGGGCTCGGGATCGGGTTCGGGCAAAAGTAAGTAGCACCAGCTTAAAACATAATGTAAACTTGTGAATCCTGTCGTTTTGTATATATTTAGGCACTGATACCATCAAACGAGGTGCTTCACCCGCATCCGTCAAGCAAGTGAAGATAGTTGATACGCCCAGCCCATACTCTGTAGTGCAGAAGAAGCCACCCCTGCAAAAGGACGTCCCCATAGAAGAAACGACGCCGCCAGAGGCCAACGCGAGCTCGAGCATCCGCAAGGGCGTCGACTTCTATGAACCGCTCAAACCGCACTCAAAAAGCTTGACGGGTGATGAGTCGTATTCGTCGAAGTATTCGAGCAGCATATTGGACACCAAGAAGAGCAGCTACAGCAGCAGTTATACGCCCGGCAAATCCTTTAATGCCAGCAGTGGCACCTCCACCGTTACTGCCAGCACCACCGATGACTACAAGGCTATGCGCAACAAGTCGAGCGCCACCTCAAGCTCCAGTTCATCTCAGGCGACGGTGTTGAGCGCTGGCTCCACAGCCACTTCGGCGCCCACAACCTCCTCCGATGACTCCGATGATTTGGTCTCATATAAATCTTCGGCATCCACAAATGCGCTGTTGGCCCAGTCTCAGGCGATGACCACCAGTCAGCTGATGTCCAAATACTTGAAACGCGAGCCACGCGTGCAGTTTACACCGATCAAGTCACCGGAGTCACCATCGCCGCCCGGCGGTAGTGATGGCCTACCCAAGGGCACCTATCAGCTGGTCACGCCCAGCTCGAGCTCCACCTGCTTGGCAAAGCCCAGCGCCACAACGGGTGCGATAAGCAAGTATACAACATCGACGTCATCGCCCAGCACAGCGGACACCAGCACCAATCTAACCAGTAGCAACAAGCTGTCGTCGTCGCCAGCTCGGCAGACCAATAATGGAAAGTCGAGTGGCGCGGTAAGTAGCTCCTCATCACTGGTGTCGAGTGGCAGGCGGCTGTTTGACAGCCTCGCCTCGTCGTCGTCCTCGGAGACGGAGACAAAGACCTACATAGGCGGCACCACAGTTGCCAGCGCGGCCAGCACCACCACAACCTACACAAACGAATCCAGGAATGTTGCCAGCAACAGTAGCAGTAGCAGTATTAAAGCAGCTTCAGGTTCAGAGCACAGAAGTTTTGGTAGCACACTTTTTGGCAGCAGTGCCATCGGCAATGGCAATGGTCATGTCTCCCACTCTAGCAACAGCCCCTTTGCCAGCACCAATGGCAACGCCAATGGCGGCAGCAGCAACCACAGCGCCATGAACCTTTATGGAACGTTGCCAAAGAACGGCGCTGGCAGCGGCAGCAGCGCAGGTGCCACTCTCTTCGGTGCCAGCGCCAGCTCGTCGTACCATTCAGGCGGTGGCACGGCGAGCAGCAGTGGGGTTAGCTCCATGACTGGGTCCACCAATAGCTATGATTTCTACTCGAGCAGCAGCTCAGGTGGCAGCAGCTCGCGTCCCTTTGCCAATGGTGGCAATAACTACCACACGCTGGGCACTTATCGCGCTCAGTACGCGGCCACCAATCCCTTCCTCGATGCCTTCGATGAGAAGCCGAGCAGTAATGGGGGAAACAATGGGCATAGCAGCCATCATGCTGCCGACGATAAGCACGTATCGAACCCTGAGAAGAGCCACCAACGTGCCTCAATGGTGGCGTCCTTCCAAGCGTCGGGCGACTCAAAGAATGGCAGCGATGAATACGATGATCTTAAGTGAGTGGCCCGCGGTGTGCGCTGGGCTTGCGTGAGTGGGGGCCGGTATTAGGGAATTTGATTTGATGGCATTAACGATTGAAAACGGTATCAAATGCTGAAAGTGTTCTTTTGGAGTATTTACAGTTTACAAATTTACAAGAAAATATTCATCAAAACAAAAAACAAAAAAAAAAACAAAAAAATGAAAAATAAATAAAAAACTAATATAAATCGATAAACAATAAATCAAAGCTCTACTTAAATCGAACAATTAAACGGTAACTAAGGATAAACGAATTTTTAAAATCACATCAAATTACATAAAATGGCAATCCACAGAGACAGAGACAGAGACAGCAGGAAAATCCGGTTTAATTAAGAACGCAAACGAAACGAATCAAAATGGCTGCCAAGCTTTAAATGTTTGTGTGTGCGTGTATTTTGTGTGTTATGCTTAGCAGCATTTATACATCGGTTGGCAGCCATTTTGAGATCAACGGCATAACCTTTACGAACAGTATTCGAATAAAAACTAAACCCAATTCATATTAAAAACATTTAAAAACAAATACCTAACAGCTAAACAAAAGGTTGATCGCGCATTTAATTGTTTTTGTATTACATACATACATACATATAGAATACTTATAAAGACGTACAGATTTGCTGAAAACATACATGCATATTTTCGCAGCAACTCAACCAAAACAGTACAGTGTATGAATAACAATTTTCTCCCTAAAAAAAGCAAACCTCCTAAGATCTTCTATGCGTATGTTAGCTTATTTTAAGGCGACCAAAACTCTTAACTATTAAAGATGATAACAATTAATTAAATATTGGACAACTTTTCGAGCAATATATTTGCCTAAAATGTTTCTCTAAGCCTCTTATACATATATACTTACATAACTTACATACAAAACATGCCTATATATATATTACACATGTATGATATGTACGTTCTTTATATGAATACGCATTTACATATAGTATACATAATGTGAAAAAAACTGCAACTTTAACTGAACATGCATACAATATGTACTTCCACAGAGGTTATGTTGAGTAAGTTGCAAAAGGTTTTCTATGGATACTGATAATGATTCAATTTCTATTCGTTCAGAGCGTTCAGCATTCATTCACACAAATACTTACACACATACCACATACAATACATGAATTTATTGACAAATCGATGTGCTTAGTTTTTTGTATGAAACAAAGTCTGATATACACACTAATATACAAGAATACGGTATTAAATATTCTTAAACATAAATATACAAGAAACAAATAAGTATATACATAAATCTATATATATTTAAAGATACATATATATGTATATATATATACATATGTATATATATATATATAAATATATACATACATATACAGTGACAAAACTAAAACACGCTTTGCGACTATGACAAAAAGAAGAGTCTACAAATTTTACAGCCATTTTGTTTCAATACTTTAGCTACAGCTTTTTATAAACGAATATATATATATATATATACATACATACCTATAAGTATATATAACTAATGCATAACTAACTCAAAACTATAATAAAATATAAATAATATTATAACTACATCTAATAACAAATCCTATTAAACTGTAAATACCCACAATGTACTTTAAAACTCTTGTGCTTTTGTGTGAGCCGATTGACCCAGTCGATAAAGTCAATCGACTATGGAGCTAGCCAGCTAGTCAGTCAATGTTTGCTAGTTCAACATTATTAGTTACTTTTTAGTGATAGGCATAGTAACCTACTGAAGTTAGGCTTTTGCTAACGAGTAGTGCGACAAAGAGAAATATTATTTTATTTAGGAAGCCAGGGAGCATAGTAAGCAATAAATATTTACATATACCCACAAATTAGAGACACCGAATAAAACAAAAATGGAAAATGCATGAAAAACAAAAACATTAAACACCAAAAACATAAGCATACCATTTACATATGTATGTGTATGTCTATTTATGTATGTACGTACCAGGTAGAAACATTTAAGTTAGTTACCTAATGAAACATCAGCATAATCATTCGTCTTCATCAAAGTACAACTTTCTAGCAACAAAAACAACAAGAACAAGAACGACAACAGTAACTTACAAGATATACATTACTATACAATTCCAGTTCAGTTTGAAATTTGCATCAATTACCAAAAACATTATTGAAATATACTTACACGTATTGCCAAATCAGTGCATTATTTGATATTATACAAGATTTAAGTAATTGTGCGACGGATGAGAAATGCGTTGAGATTTTAAATAGCAAATTATTCGGTTAATTGTTGTAACATTTATTTTATACGAATCGATAAAGTAAAAAAAAAAATAAAAACATTTTAAGTGTTAAACATGAAATACAAACCAAAGAGTTAAAAACAAGAACAACAACAAACCTAGTTGATGCTAATTAATTTTTATATACGAGTATAGTAAATTGTTGATTATTAAATATAGCGTGTAGTGGTTTTAAAAAGCAACAACTTAGCTTACAACAATTTGCCAATATTGCGAGCTGTTCATTTGTTGGGGTCCAATTGCATTTCGAGGGGGGTCTGCAAGCGATTTGTTTTACTATGATTTACTTATGCAATCGCCTTGATTTCAACACAAGCCACTTGTTCTTAAAGCCTTTTACCATTTTACCCAAAGCATTTCAAATATTGTTTTGACTTAAGCCCAATGCTTTAATCGTTGAACGACTCAAAGGTTAAAACTTACACAAGGCACTCGGCTTTTACGAAAAAGGTAAAGAAAACAAGTTAAGGTTGAAGCAAAATTTTAATTAATTTGCAAATTGTTGTGGCTTTTTAGTTATAGCTGAGCTTTAGATAAGATACAACAGTTGCCAGCTGGCCTAGTTAGTGTTAGTTAATTGTGGTGTTTTGTGGTGGTGGTGGTGGTGGTTTTGGTGCTGTTGCTGGTATAAGTGTTGGCTGTTATGTGCAGACTATTTGTCATTGGCGCTTCAACTGCTGTGTGTGTGTTCTTTTTTTTTGTTTGGGACGTGCTCTGGGGCTTGAACTTGCCTGATAATTATACTTGTACTTCTAAAATATGTTATGAAATATATCACTGTGTCATATCGTACATTTATACAAGTAATGGATACCAAGTTGGCGAGTAAGACGCGATACATTGTTAAAAGAAAAGTGTTTAAATTAAGACATATATAACTAAATTAATAGCAGCAAAGCAGCAACTATAGTTAAATAAACGGAAATGATTGGCAAGCAACCACAACTATAAATTGTATATGCATTTAATTTAGCCTAAACAATTAAACAAAATAATAATAATAAGCGTTAGCTGGATAAATACAAAGCAAATATGTTAATGGCATTTAGTGAGCAAATATGAATTGATAAAAACTAATACACAAAGCCACATGAAATTAATGTTAGTTACCAGAAAAACGAACTAATTTATTGAAATGTATTGCACAATATTGTACACTTATAAATATTAGTAAAGAGTAACTAAAACTTAATAGAAACGAATAGGAAGGCAACTGCGCTAGCGAAATATATACTTATTATAGTATATATATATATATATATATGAATACATATTTAGAACCCAGCCATGTTTTAAAGAACTATAAGCGTTTTCCTTTCTTTTTTTTTTAATATGTACCCGACAACTGTTGTTTCCCAAATCAAAGAATATCCGTGGAAATGTTGCGATTAATTGTATAATTCTCGGTAGCTCAGTTTGAATTAGTTCGATAGTAAATACACCTAAGTATATAAATGTGTGAATTTATGTGTGTATGTATTAAATGTGCCTACAAGATATCATTTTTTCTTCAAATACCTTTTGAGAAATTTTCGGGGATTAACATTTAACATTTCGCAGCACATTCGTGCAACGATTTCTTTTGTCGAACTTAACAAGCAAATGGAGACCAAATGCTCAGGGCTTAGCGAGTTATTGTAAACATAATATACAAACAAAAATAAAAAGGCGAATCGTATTTAAGAACTAATTGTAACACATCATGAGCATGCTCCATTAAAGTTAACAATTATTAAGCATTTTAGTTGCAAATAAAACGATATTGTCATAATGCAACTGTAGCAACAAATTCAATACAACCATAACAAAAAACATCAACAAGAACAATCCAGCAAACAAATTTACAAATCCAAGCAATCAATTTCGTTATAAAGACTGAATGAGAAACCAACAACCCAAACTCCCTAAGCAACCGGAGTTTTCATATCAAATGGCAAACGTTTTTCTAAGATCCCCAAATGAGATGCTTCAGTTATAAACATTCAAAATGTACATTATTCAATTTTTTAAACCTTTTCTAGCGCGTCCATTATCCGAAAATCAATACAAAATCCTTAATGAATAGTCAAATATAGCGAAAATAATTCAAATATTACCACCAGCATTTTGCTACATAACTAACTAACTATAACTAAATTGCAATAATACAATTAATAATAATACAAAATAGCCTACAATGTAGTTGAGAATCATATAAGGGCAAAGCAGTTGGCATTGAACTTTAGCGGACATTTTTATAGTAGAAGAGTAAAGTATACAATGGATAACCGAAAAAAATATATGAAGACAGTAAAATCGAAACGACACCTAAAGCATTGAATTTGGAAATGATTTTTGAAACCCACCATAAAAAAAAACTGAACAAAGAAACTGAAATACTTAAATTAATGGCTATCAACAGATCTTCGCTTAATTATTTAATGCTCGTTTTCATTTATTTGCCGTCTCAATTCCAAATTCAAATGTTTATAAAACGAATTCGCATCAAAATATAAATTAATTAACATTCGAATGTACATATGCATACGTATTGGAGAGACATATGTACATACATACTTACACATATGTATATACGTGCAGTCATAAAGCTAACCCAATCTAAATCCAAGCAATAACAACATAATACGAGGATCTCTTGATTTTGAGACGGATCAAGCAACTTGCGCGCGATAACAGCTAGAGAGGAGAGCAACAGATAATACTCTGATATACCACTGCCACAAAGTAAAAGAATAATGAAAAATTATCGTTATTATAGACATAAACATTCAAACATAAGTATATACTTACTTACATACAAACATATATATACTTTGCAAGTATAACATGACAAGAAAATTCATTACAATTACATAAATAATATGCGTATT